GAAAGTGAAATGGTTTGGTACTGCATTGATGTTTATGTAATAAATAGAACATTGCATTGTTGCTTGGAGATACGAGATTTCTCTTCTCTCGTAAAAAATATATATATATATTTCACTCGTACGCTTGGCCTCCTACTCAGTTGCTCTTTGGGTTCGTCACGCAATCTTCCTCTCCCACGAACGTTTGCTGAAACACAGGGTTATTTCTGATCGCAGTGCACTTCCCTATCTAGGCAGCAAACTTTGGACGCACAGAAATTTTGCGAGAGACTTCAACGGATACCAAAGTGGCCTTTCAACGAGTATGTGGACAAAAGGTTTAACAAAAGGTTTTATCGGCAAGCCATAGAGTATTTAACACGCGAAGAGGTAGATGGACGTGTTCGTACGTAGGCATTCGTTTGGCTAGTCCCTTGTAAATACTGGAAGCCTGCGCAAGCTTGAGAAATGATGAGGAAACCCCCCAAAATGCTAGAGTGGCCTCTTTCACCAAGTGTCTGAGACATTTATGGTGTTCTGTTTAAATCCCCCTCGAGAAACTATAGTGTATATCACCGTGAAAAAGATGAAGTGTACGTAAATCTACTAATCCGGACGGGATTAGACCAGTCATATTTACTTTGAAAGCGTTGTCGTTGACATGACACACAACAGTTGGCGTTATCGTTTTCGCCCCAAGGGAGCCTGGCCTGGCTCTAAAGCAATTTCCACGTGATCTCCAGCTGATCTAAACGAGCAAAGGGAAAGGAATGTGCTGTTTGTTTCAGTAGACGTTTGTGGGGAAGGAAAGATTATGTGACGATCCCAAAGAGCGTCAGCCTAGGAGGCTATCGTTCGCTCGGCTCATTCGACGCGTGCCGACGCGTGCGAGGGAGGTTGATCTTAGCTACGATCCCAGGCGCTCTCTGGGATCGAGGTTGATTTGATCGAGGCTTGGCAGCAAAGCGTGTAATCGATACATTTTTCTGACCTGAGCCTCACCTGGGAGAAACAGAGGGCGTAGCAGAAGGCGAAAAAATGAATGGTGGGTTTTGCTCTGTTTCTGCGCCCCGTTTTGTTTCAAAGATCACCAGCTAAAGAAGCGACCAGATTGTGTTGCCTCGGGAGGAGTGCACTTGGCGAGTTCTGTGCAACCAGATGTGTTTTCAGGTCGAAAGTTGTGCTGTGCTGTTTAGCGTCTAACTCAGCTGTTTACTGTTTACTGTTTACTGTTTACTAGGACGCTACACGCTCTTGTTGTGACCATGCTCGCTTACATCAACTAATCTAACATTCAGTTTCTTTTCAGGCATTCAAGGAAGGTTTTTCGAAGGCTGTTAAACTCTTTCCCTCGCTCTGTTTTGGAACCCGAAGAAATCGAACGACCGAAATAGACATCTGTCTTTGAGCTTCGATTGCGCGCCATTTCTGACCATTTTCTGTTGAAGGAGTGGAGATGATGGCGAGTTACTTGGTTCGGCAAAGGCTTTCAGGTGAGTTCTGTCCTACCAAAGTGTTTTCTAAGAGATAAAAGATTTTGCTATTAGGATAAGTTTCTGTTTCGAGCCGTTTATCAGGTTGAAATCCAAACTAACAGCTTTAAATCCTCGCTAGATCCGGAATGAAAGCCACGTGCACGGAACACAAATTCACTACTATTAAAATTTGATAGGAACTGGTCTAATATCTGATCTTCTTGTCACAGATTCAAATGAGTATTCATGGCTGATGCTGCAAGATGTTAAAGTTTCGTCCAGCTAAATGCAAACCAGTAAATCCGAGAAGCTGAAATGTGTTGTGGAAGCTTGCATGAGGAAGAGGAAGGTATGCAAATAGCGTTCGTCAATGAAAACTCGTTATTGCTCAGGATAAAGGAAAGAGTAACAGTTTAGGTTTTTCAAGTTAAGGTATATGTTTTTTGTGGCTCTGCGGCTCGACGGCTCGCCAGTTGGTTTCATTGTTTCGTGAACGAGTAGGGTATATTTTTTAGTGGCTCGGTGGCTCGATGGCTCGCCAGTTGCATTCAGAGTGTTATGGAAAGATAAAAGTATACTTGTAAGAACATTTCAAATACATTAACGGAGCGAACTTTATTTGAACTGTAAAATTAACTAGCCAATTAAAAAATATGAGAATTAAAAATACAAACAGTAGTTGGTCCCCCAAAATAACCAAAATTTGTAGGGAGTTTTGGCCCATTTTTCCTTAATTTTCATCAC